AAAGAATTCCACTGAGATCCATTGAAGTTATTTGTATCAATAGTTCCTCCTTTTAATTGCTGACTAGTGGTATGTAATGGTATGTAAGATGTAATACAATTTGTTAAACCATGTACTTATTCTTTTTTTTTTAATGATGCTGTCTTAAAGTGTATTTGGTCTATAATCAGTTGGCTATGCTAGCTTCCTGTTAGCTAGTGCCTGAGTGGTATAAGTTTTTATTTCCAAAGTTTCTGCATGCTTATTCTTTACTATATAGCTGGATTTTAAAAAATGAATGGTATCAGCCAGTCTTGGTGGTGTACTCTGGGAGGTCAAGGCAGGAAGACTGCAAATTTGAGCACAGCCTGGATATTTTAGTGACAGTGAGACTCTCTTAAAATAAATATAGAAAATAAAATTTCTGGAGATATATCTCAGTGTGAAACTGAGTTTAATCTCTAATGCCAGAAAAAAAGAGAATGGTGTGTTTTAACAAGTTAGTTTATCCCATTTCCATTTCTTGTGATTACTAATGCATTGGAATTTTCTTTTTCAAAATCATTTCACTTTTCTCATTTTTTACCTTCTTTTGGATTAAGTATAGTTTTTATTAGTACATTTTACTTAATGTTTTAGATATCATATTATATTGATTATCCCCAGTCTGAAGTTTGATATGAATGGTTAGATTTCAAGAGTGAGGGGTGGGGATTTAGCTCAGTGGCATAAGCACCTGCCTTGCAAGTGTGTGGTCGTGAGTTCGATCCCCGATACTGAAAAAAAAAAAAATAAGAAAAAGACAAAAAAAAAAAAAAAAAAGATTTCAAGAATGATCAATAAATTAATAAAATAGGGAATATAGTTAAATTTCAGGAATGATCACTAAATTAATAAAATAGAGAATATAATATCTAACCATTCATATCAAACTTCAGTCTAGGGCTAATCAATATAATATAATATCTAAAACATTAAATAAAATGTACTAATGAAAACCATATTTAATCCAAAAGAAGATAAAAATGAGAAAAGTGAAATGTTTTTAAAAAAGAAAAAAGTACACAGTTCCAATGCATTAGTAATCACAAAAAATGAGTTAAACCAAGTGTGATTAATTTGGACTGAACTGTACTTATGTTTTTAAGTCAAGTACTTTCAAAGTCTGTAATGATCCTCTTTTTTGTTCTGTTATTGCAATATCATACCAGATTAAGAAATTTTACTTCTTCAAAATATATGCCTCATGTGAGATAACTTGCTACTTTTCTTGCTACCAGAGCACAGTGGGAACTAGTTTTAAAAGCCCAAAGAAGCTAAGGAATTCCCATATAACATGTTTGATTCCATTATTCCCAGTTTCAATAAGGAAATCAGTAAGGGGTGAATCCATAGACAAAGCTAATTTCTAAAGTCATATTTCAAGATGTCTAACAGCTTTAAGTGGAAAAACATTCGTGTAGTAGGATTCCTTAAATTCTCTTTTTTATCTTTTATGTTTAGTTACATATTTTTCCTGTTTTTACAGGAAACCCTTAGAAATAAACATCCCATTCCATTGAATTCCTTTTCCTCATAAAATCATTCTATAGGACCAATCACCTTGTCACTGACAATCTATTGTCAAGAGGGAAAGCACTCTCAGTTAATTGTAGGCTATTAACTGTTGACCACAAATTATAGAAGGAAATTCCATTTGGACATTGACGTCTTAAACGCAAGTATTCTATTTTTTTTTTCAGTGCTGGGTATTGAATCTGAGACCTTACACATGCTAGGCAAATGTTCTAAATTTAACTGCATCCTCAAACCCATGACTATTTGAAAATCTATTCGCTACTACTCCACTTGATATATTATTCTTAGTCTATAGCCTTTTGATTAAACATACAAATGGAATTGAAGGAAGGATGTTATGATGTATCTTACAAATAAGGGAAAAGTTGAATAACCTACACTGATCAAATATAGAAACAAAAGCAGCTTCAGCGACAACAAGAGAAGTTTGTATCCCTTTTTCCCTGTGTTTTCAGTCTTTGAATCTATCAAGTCACATTATTTTAAAACCTAATGTTCTTCCTGATCTAGTTGTTTATGTAGCATCATAAATTGAAACAGGGAAAGAAATATAACTCAGTGTAAGCATAGTTGTGAGAACAGCTCTGTTGTACCCAAGACCTGGGTACACAATGTAAAAAGTAAACACTATTGTAGAGATTGTCTAAAGAATATTTTAAAAGCCGTGTTTCAAGAATAATACAATAATATATAACTGGAGTTCACTTTCTTGTACTTATTATTTTACTAATTTACAATTTCCACAGAAATAGTATTTTATGTCTCAGTTGCACTTGGACTTCTAATTGTTTTTATATGTGGTGTGATTTAAGACACAGAAACTCAAACTTTAAGGGGTGAAATATTTGTCTATTATATGATTCTTTGCTCATTCTTAAGGCCAGATTACATATCTCTCTACAGGAATAGGCACCATCTGAATAGTATAGAAGTTTACACTGTTAAAGCAAATGAAGATGATTGGATTACTTTAATAACTTGAATCAAACTAAGAGATGCTGATAGGTCCATTGCAATATATGACCTCAAATGATATTTTTATGTTAACCAGAAGGAGACATTAATGTTCTATGACTGACATCTTTCTAGGGCCTCCTTGTTAAATATTTAAAAAATCTTGTGTCTGTGGTCATTTAGAGTCATCTTTTTACCCCAGCAATGGTATTCCTTATCAAATGGGTTACAATGGTTACAGTAAAACTGAACATTTCAACATTAGACCATAAAGTTCTCCATTAATTTTCTCCTAGAAGAAGGAAAAAGGCTATTCTGTTATTATTCTTACCTTAACTTCTTCAGAAAAACATTCAAGTGTTGCAAAATCCCAATTTTATAGTTATAGATGCAAGTTTTCCAAAAATTTAATTTTACCTAAAAGTTCAAATATTGCTGTTGATGACTAATAATGTCAGTTGTTTCCTTGAGGCCTCACTTAATTTATTTTCAAGAAAATGTCAATTATACATGTGTGCAAAATCATAATTTGCCTGCCAGTGATTCTGTAAGCAAAAATAGTATTCCAAGAAAAGAATAGCTAATTCAGTGCACAACTCAAATAGATATGCAAATATTTTCCTTTGAGACAATCATTGTCCTGTGATATGTGCACAAGTTCTTTGTGCATACTTTCTATTTTATCACACAGAATATTAAAAAGATGTGAACTCATGCATCAAGATATAATACAATTTATAATTATATTATGAATAAAGTGCTTATTAAACATTTAAGAATGAAACTGGATTTTTAAAAATTGAGTAATTGTAAAGAATACAATCACTGCTATTGTAGTTTGTGAGTACTACCTTGATCTATGCTAACACATCAACAATTTTACTCACCATTGTGTTTGCACCATCATTGTAAATGTCAACCTTGTAAAAATAGCAAGTGATATAGTAATGTTGTTTTAGAAGTAGGTTTGACCTTAAATTTTAGGAACTTGCAGTACTCCATGGGTACACATTGAGAAACAATGATGTACATTATGACTCCAATTTCATGTAAAAAGTTATGAAGAGATGTACATAATAACCATCTGAAAGAATTTTCAACCAGTGTACTATTGTGTGAATGTTTGACTGATGCCATAGGAACTTATATCCAGTGAATATCTTTTCTTGACATTACAGAAGTATATAAACCTTTTCAAAAACTTATTTTTAATTGAAAAATAAACGCTGTATATATTTTGGGGGCACACGATGTTTTAATATATGTAGATGTCATTTAGTGGTTAAATTGAACTGTTTAAATATGAAATAGCTTACATAGTTATCTTTTTTGGTGGAACACTTAAAATCTAAGTTTTAAAAAGTGAATATTACACAATTGCTCTGCAGATAAGTTATATTATTGTGTAATGCTAATCTATTCCTTTTCTATATGCCCCCATTGCAAAAGTCCCTATTTATACCCTGATATAGTATACCATAAACTTGCACAAAAACGATTTTGTGAAGGTTGTCAGAAAAGCAGGCTGAGTTTGGTACAATCTCTGGGAGCCTTCCCACTTTTTTCACTGCCTTAGCGTACCAAGGAGGTGAAGAAGGCAGGTATACTATGCTTGCTCTTAGGTGAAATCAGAAGTGGGAGTGAGGGCCCCAATGAAATCCTCACCATTGCTCCTTTTCCAGAGGAAGTCTGACCTACACCTTAATCCTAGGAATCCAACCATCGGTCTGGGCTGAGTCATTTTTTCAGCCACACTGATTTTTTTTTCTCAGTCCAAATGGGAACTTCTTTATGACTATGCAGTCCTCAGAGTTGCTAAAGAGGGCTCTTGCCTGTCAGGATCTGTACAAGATCATATAATCCTCTCTTTGTGGACCCATAACCAAGTGTAAGGTGGCAAATCTTGATTCGTTTTTGCTTTTGTAGGCCTGTAATAATTAATATACCGTAACAGTGCCATTAACCACTACCCCATCTCACTCATCATCTCATGCTTTATTTATTATAACTTTCTAAGAAATATTTTAGTTCCATTTTTTACCATTAACTTTATGCTGACCACAAACTACCTTGCACATTGCTTCCAGATTATTTTTCCTTTTGTCAAAAATATACAGAATATGACAGGAGAGCTTTCCAATAGCTGAGCCTAGAATTTAAAATCTTCCTTAAAATTCTTTATCTTGAATTATCACCTTTAGCTTTCCTCACATCTCTTCCTCTGGCTTCCATTCTAGGTAAGCTGATATATCAAGGGCACACACTGCCCACCTTCATAACTTTCTTTCAATTATTTCCCCTTCCGGAATGCTCTTCTGGCCTATCTTAAGTATGCCCCTCTTCACTGAAGATCTCTTAGCAAGCTCTGCTTCATTTGGGCAGATGGCAAGTACTTGACAAAAGAGCATATATGAGCACTGTTAGTAATATTTTTGTATTTATGTTCCTTACGTCTCCAGCTAGATTCTAAGCCCAAGAATAAGAACAAATTTTAAAAATTTGAAACACTCAACTTTATTGATAGTATATGAATGAAGTCTTTGGATAAATTCAAGTCAAAACAATTATTAGCAGAGTAGGCAGGTATGCTGTCAATTCACAGAAGAACCAGTAAAAATATTCCACCCAAGTAGCATGATTAAAGTCACAATGTTTTCATTACAAGAAGACTGGTATTCATAAGATGGTTTATCTTAAAGCTGGTGACTGTCACAGATAACTTCACTGTGGAAGATACATTTTTCAAAACTGGCAGCTGAAGAGAACTCTTTACCAAATAAGCAAATGAAAATGCAGAAACTTTAAATCTGCAGTGCTTTTAGGGCACGAAACCAAGAAATTTCATCTTTTGAGAGCATGTAACAATCAGAATTTATTCACTAATTTTATAACTTTCACTTTCACCAAGAGATCATGATGATTTGCCAAGGCTCTAATTTTCTTAACACACACTCCAGAAGTAGTACATAAGTAAAACAGGGAGCCTTTGTTGAATTCTCTGTAGTTGTATACTTCTGCTCTTAGATTGTCATAGATAATCTCAAATAGAGTAAGGGCATTAATAAGAATTTCTGATTCCACATAAGAATTATACAAGGAACTAAATGATGATGGCACTTGGGTACTAAGGAGTGTTTTTAGCATATCTGGATTTTCAGCAAAATTCGAAAGTATTTTCAAAATCTCAACCTTGATTTTTCCACCTCCCTGAGATAACAAACGGAAAAAGTTTGCAATGGAATTGACCAGCAGGTGTTGGTAGTCATTAGTAATAGTCATGTTTGTTAAAAATTTTAGTCCAACTACCTGTACTGCAGAGTTCAGGTTAGAGGCCATTATATCGTCCATCACTTTATTCATGTATATCTGAAGCCGGCCCTGGTTTTCATAATTTTCACTCAGATTATTCATGGCCATCAAGGCTTTTTCCTTAATGTGAGGATCAGTTTTGTTGATCATGTTTGCAATAATTGGGAGGCCTCCCAATTTACGAATTGTCTCTTGATTGCATGAATAATTGGCATTGTTGCTCAGAGTGAGCAAAGCTACCTGTTGGATGAAAGGATCATCTGATTTTTGAAGCAAAGCAAGAACTTTCCTGAGATCTCGCACACCCAGAATTTCATCAATTTCATAAGGAAAGGGGCGCTTTTGCATGGCAACTGTTTTTTTTCCTCTCCCTCTGCGTTGGGTCTCAGGTTCAGAGTCTGAATCTGACTCTGTGTCTGTCCACCCAGACTCTCCGTCCTCAGAATCAGGGACTTCTGCTAGGAAAGCATGTCCCCCATTAGCAGAGGCTGCAGCAGCAGCAGCAGCTCCATCACCAGGGCGAAAGCCCATCCCCAATTCATCTACTTCAGCCTTGCTTTTCTTGTTCTTGCCCTTGCCTCCAGTCTGGGACCTGGTTCCACCCTTGGCCCCACCTTTAGGCATGGCTCTAGTGACTGATCCGACCTTAGGTATAGCCCCAGTGTGAGCTCCAGGGGCTGCCTTCTTGGCAACTGCTGCTGTCCTAGTAGACCCTGAAGTCCCAGGAAACTCTGAAGCCCTGGCAGTTATTGCTACCCCAGCAGGTGTTGTGGACACAGGAGCCTCTGTTGCCTCTGCAAGTTTTGTCATTCTAGAACCCTCTGCCATCTCAGTAGGTGCTGCCATTCCAGGAACCTCCACAGTCTCTGTGGCTGCTGTTGAACTGGTAGACACTGCTGTACCTGGAGGCAACACTACTTCCCTGGAAGGCACTACTGTTCTGGGATACACTGATATCCCTAAAGGCACTGTTGCCCTGGGAGCCTCTGCCATGTTAGGAGCTACTGCCGCTTTGGGAACCCCTGCCATCGTGGAATCTTCTAGAGTTTTGGAAGCTCCTGCCACCCCTAAAGGCTGTGCTACTGCAGAGGTCACTGTAACCTCTAATATTAATTCAGTCTTAGTCCCAGTCCCTGCCCTTTCTGTCTCCTGAGCCAGACTTTCTGTCTCATTCTTAGCTTCAGTGCTGGATGAAGCTGGGACGAATGCCTTAGCCCCAGCCATGTCAAAAGCAGAGGTTTCATCCTGGACCTTGTCCTCTGCCCCAGCACAGACTGTGGTTGGTGGACTGAATCCTGGACCCAGGTCAATTGTGAATCCAGCCCTTAGTCCTGCTCTATCCCTGGCTGCAGTGCCAGCCACCGCCCGGTTCTTGGGCTTGGTTGGTCTCCTCTTCTTCTGGTCTCTTCCCCTCGTGTATTTGTAGACACAGTACCAGGCACCGGCTCCGATCACTATCCCTGCAGCTACACAGCCTGCATCCCGAACACGGCTCATGGTGCAGCCGGGATGATTCTCTGATCCAGAGTGCACTACTGGTTTGCCGGAGGAGAATGAGTACAGGTCAGGGTGAGGTTTCAGGCTTGTAAATTCTGCCAAACTGTGAACAGTGCAGAACCTAGGAATAAATGTTAGAAATAAGGCTTAGGGTTCTGGCTCATTTTGTGTCTAACCAAACTTACTTAGAGGAGAGTTCGGCAACCCAGTGTCTAGCTGGAGGGCTTGCACCCAGAAACAGGTGCATAGAATTACATTTGCTGATTTAGAGCCATAGTAGACCAGGTTATGTCTGTAACCTCAGTTTGGAGTAAAACCTCTAATTTTGTCTCCTAAGTGACATGAGAGGCAATATAGAAAGCAGGTGGTGATGGGAAATCTCATATGCAGTTTTCATGTCCTTCCACCATATCTACCTACCCAAAGGTCCCTAGATGGTGCTTATGCACATACCAACTTCTGGGATTAGAAGCAGTGTGATCTTTTCCACAGTACCTGAAGTTGTACAGAGCCCAGAAGTCAGACCTGTGGACAGATGACAGAAAGTGTGTTTTTGAGCTAATGGCAAATGGATTCTGGTTTATTTCCTCATTTCTACCCCTGTAGGGGTGGGAGTAAAACGTTTGTCCTTCTTAAGGTTCCTTTTTTCCTTCCTATTCTTAGCTTCTCTTACTATTAACTGTTAAGGTATATGCCATATCCCTTTCCCTGCAAGAAAGAACAGGGCATAGCAAGACAGGGAAGACGTTGGAGGAGCAACCTCTGGTCCTAGACTCTGCTCTGATTTTTGCTACAACACCACCAGGAGTCCCAAGACAGCAAGATAGTTTACAACTTCAACACTGACCTCCAAGGATTTAGAGCCGTTTTTCTTCCCTTTTGTTCAAGTAAAGCTTCATGCTAAGGACAGACTGAAGGGCAGAAAAACAGACTGCAGATATTGAAGCCTGAGAGCTTATTAGATATACTAGCATATAGGACAAGCATCCCAGTACTTGCCTTTTAGCGCTCGCATACTGATGTCAAATAGAGGTCTGCCTCTAATTTATTCTGTCCTCACTCCTGCCGTGGCACCTTAGTCCACTGTCTAGTGCAGGTCCCCTATCAGTCTTTCCACTTTGCCCTGCCCCCGGCAGCCATGTCTCCCAGCTACACTGCCCCGCCCCTTCTCCTGCACAGAAGCGAGGGCGGGGGTGTGAGGCGAGGGTGTCCGAAAAGCAGGCTGGGACACAGCGGGGGGTATTGGTGACCTATAATCTAGGATCCCCTTCCACGGTAACCGTTTTCCACTCTCTGTCCCCCACGCTTCGCATTGACCTGCATATCAAGGGCCCCAATATCTTGTTTTGTCAGTTTCAGGGTCGTGATTTTCCATGGTTTCTTTACTCAGAGTTCCGCCTCCCACTCCCACCCAAATCCTCTGATAACCGCCATTTCTCCCTCTTGCATACCCGAATTCCTTTTCCAGGACAGAAAAGACGAGGATGAAGGACTGAGTGGATCGGAGGTGTCTGGCAACCAGTCTGGGAATTAACACGGTGGTTTAGTACAAGATTATGTCAGTGTCACTCTCTTGTGAAGCTCGGACAGCGCCAAACCAGCCATTTCTCCTATAAAGGCTGGCACACCCATTTCCCAGCCCCTCGAATGGCATAGGGTGTGTGTGTGTGTGTGTGTGTGTGTGTGTGTGCGCGCGTGCAGGACCAGTGATAAGAAGCTGTATGTAAAGTGAGTGTGAGAGCGAATGGTCTGGATTGTTGCCAAATTCCATGCCCCTCCGATCAAAGGTTCCCAACCTCCCAGGTGGCCTTATATGCACTGCCACGTTTATTTCTCTTCCCTTCTCTCAAAGCACGACGGGATGTGGAGTGCGGGCCTGAGTGTCACTCCCCCCCCCCCCAAAAAAAAATAGCGGCTAGGAAGGCAGTAAGCAGATTCCTCTCAGTCTATGGGTGTTTTCATTCCCCCTCCCCCTTTCCCCGCCGCCCACCTAGAGGAACTGCGTCTGAGTGCCTGAGGGTCTGGAGAGGCGGCCCCAGGAGGGAAAGGCAGAAGAGCCCGCAGCCTGTGACTCCAGCATCCTTAAGCAACTCCTCCTAACGGAATCCCAGGCCACTGCCACCCTCACACCAACCTGCCTGCAAATTTTCTCCTTGTCCTCCTCTTCGCCTGGGTTAAATGTGCGGCTCTGCGCCGCACTGGAGTTGGTACCCAGAGGAGGACGGGGACTGCTTTCAGGGCTTTAAATACTTTTGCCCACGTCAGCTCCTGGTCACGTGAGCGCCGCCTTGCCAGTAAGACTAGATTCCCTGTTTTCACTCCTACGACAGCCCCTTTCTTTATCTTCACTCCTACCTCACTCCATGACATCAGGTCCTGTCACTCATTTTGCTTTTGTAGTTTAAGAGGTCAAAAGTAATTCCTTTACCCTATAAGAATCTGCCTTTTTCTGGTTACTGAGGATGCCCTGTATCTTCCAGGAGAGCTGAAAATTTATTATTTTTTAATTGGGGAATCGTCTCATCTTTTCCTGGGCTACTGGGCACATTTCCGTGGCTCTACTTCCAATCCCTAGGTAGTTCATACCTTTACCCTTAAAGTTGAATCCCTGCTCTAACACAGATAAAGGGCAGGGGTGTCAGAAAGGAAATGGAATAGGGGTGAGGTCTGTATTGCAATGCTCCTGATCTTTTTAAAAATCCATCACCATGATTGAGTTTTATAGTAAAAATACAATAGAACAAGAATTCAGTGTACGAAACAGCAACAAAAAAGGATGGGCATGCTTTGTAAATTTTTTCCATTTCCATTGTAAGATATTATTTAAAGTTTACCACATTAAAAATGAATTCTATTTGATACATAAGAAATAGTTAACATAGTAAGGTACTTGAACCTCTTAAAATATTTTCTTGTAACAAGATAGGCATATTTTCATATGATCTGTAAATTGATTTATGGTGAAATGTTTAGCTATCCAATCTTATTTATTTTGGACAAATGATAGTGCTACTTTTTCTCCTTCTGAAACAGCTTTTCAGTTGAACAAATAAATGATCTTGTTCTGCTAAAGAAATGTATTTATTTAGTCAGCGTTTATAAAACAAGGCTGACTTCTGTGTGAACCTCCTGTAATACTATGGCTGCTATCATGATGGTTTTGAACACCTACTCCTGGATAAGATTTTGGTTGAGTGATTCAGCTCGGAGTAAAAATAAGAGCTGCAAGGCTGAGACAACTAAGGGCCTGAAGGGTACAAAGTGAACAGATTTTCACTGCTCTATTTAGAGAGGTGGAAGGTACTGCCTTTCCCTTGCCTCCAGTGTTTCAGGGTCTTTCATTCTCTGCAGTCAGATGCCTGAATCTGTTGCTTACTCTAAATATATACATGGACAGGTAGCCAAGGTGCCGACCTGAATAAATGCCATTAGCTCCTATTCTCCCTCAAATTTCTGTAAGTACAACTGAGGAACATATAGAAAAGTGCTGCTTCCACAGCCCTTGCAGCTGAGAATTTTCATGACGTCCGAAGAAGCGATGGCTGAAGGAAGTTCCTAGGCTTGGCTGTTGTCTGTCCTTCTTCATAGTGCCCTGATGAAAATGACTTTTAACACCCCGTGCGCTACTATCACCTGGCCTGAGAGGTGTAGCCTGCTGGGCCTCTAACTTCTGGCCTTTAACTAGAGGTCAACAAGGAAGAGCCTAATCTTGTTGCAAGGTCACTGCTTTTCAGTCTCTATGCACTTCAGTGCCTCCTCAGACAAATATATGCCCAAGCCCAAGGAATAATCCCCGCTGACCACACTAACTGAAAGTAGTTGTTCTCACTGGCCCAACTCTGTGGACCACCTGAATTTCTATTAACTGACAGAGTTTTGTTTGTGATTCTATGTATAGCTAAGTGCATGTGCAAGGTTCTGAGTTCCATCCCTAGGACCGTGAAAGAATTTAAAACAGTAAGGAATTATATAAGATATACAGAGAAAGAACCTGTTCCCATCTTTTCAATCCTAGACACTCTAATGATTTCCAGCTTTCTTTCTATGTGTATTTTAGTGAGTGAACACAAGCTATCCTATAACTTGTCTCATTGCTGAGACAAAAATACTCAAAATCCAAGATTAAAGGAGGAAAAGCTTATTGAACTCACAGTTTATAAAGGTTTCAGTCCATTGTTAGCTGGTTCTAAAGCAAGGTGGCAGGGCTAATTGGCTTTATAGAGAAAAAGCATTTCATGGTGAGGCAGGCAAGAAGGCAACAAATACCCAAAGCAGCGAGTAGCCTCAGCAGGTCTGCCTTCCTTTTGTCCCTTTATAGTCCATCCAGGCTACAAGCATATTGATTGGGTCCACTGATGCCCAGGGTAGTGCTTCCATTATCCACACCTTTAATCCCAGGATTACGTCCTTAATCCACATTCACACATCCTAGTCCAGCCACCTTTGAAACTCCCCATCTATGACAGTATGAGGGTTGGAGATGACATCTAGATATAACTCTTAACCCATGCTTATTATTCAAGTCCCAAATTGGTCAACAATAACAAAAATAAATATTGAGATTTATATTGTAATTACAGTAAATGCAGATTAATTTGAAGAACATTAACATCTTAAAATTGATATTTTTCTTCAAGAATATAATATACAAACTTTGCTCTGCAGCATTATATTTTTATATTTGCTAATAAAATTTAATTTCTTCAGCTAAGTAATTCATATTATTTGCTAGGTTTTTCTTAGGTTTTAAAGTAGTCTGTGTGTCTGAAATGCTATTTCTTTTTAAATACTTAATTATATCTTCTTATTTAAATAAATGGGCACAGCTTGAGACCATACTCATAAGCGAAATAAATCAAACTCACATGTGTAAATACCGAAAAGTTTCCCTAGTGTAAGAAATGCTAAGAATACATAAAAGTATGTGGTAATCATGATTCCCCATTATATTGCTTTGAAGCCTTATAATGTTTTAATTCATTAATTGGAATGGTTTTATTCTGGGTTGTTTGATTTTATTGTCTGTGATGGTATGAACAGTTATTTTGAAGAAAACATAATATTACAATTATAATTTAATATATATAATTTATAATATAAACAATATAATAGTGCTGATTTAATATCATCTTGTTTTGAAGTCCCATGAAGCTTTTGTTCTTTTGTCTTCATCGGTTTATCATGTTGTATCTTATTGGATTTTATTATATGTGATAGTATAAATGAAATTTTTTATAGACAAGGAGATAATATAGAAACCATTGTTTGTTCTCTGTTAGTTGGTTCTAAATACCCTGTAATACTTTCATCCTCTTGAATGGTTTTACACTGTCGTGTTGTGTTTGATTTTATAATATATGAAGTTATACTCAAATATTTCAAGGAAAGAGACACTATGGTATCTACTGTTAGGTCGGGTTATCTTGTGGTGAAACACTATGTTGCTTAAATTGTTCTGTTCTGACCTGTGTTATTATGTTATGTCCTCTTTTATCTTAATTTTCTTTCTTTTAATTTTTTTAATAAAAAATAAAAAAACCAATTATGTCTTCTAAAAGCAATTTCTGATAGGAAGTTTTCTGTTTAAAAGCAAATGTTCTATTATTGTATATTATTTTATATGTGCCAATGTTTGTGCTCTTATTCATTCCAGTAGTTTTCAGATGATGGTTTTGATTTTTCTAGGTATATACTGTATATAATTTTCTAGAAAGTGTATTTTTATTTCTTTTCAATATTTGTAGTTCTTTCTCTTTACATTTTTGCATTTGTCCAGAACTTCACTGCAAGTTTGTTCTTGAAATCAGCAAGCGTGCCTATTTTTGTGTGAACATTTAGTATAGTTTTTTCTGTTTCTGATAAGTTTATTTTCTCAAGGTTATTTTTCATTTATTCTTGACAATATCAGAAATAGTGACTATGAGGAAACATTATCAGAGAGTAAAGGCCAATCATAAATTATGTGGTCTTGATAGCCAATAAGAAGTGATGAGTTTTCCAGATCAGAAAGAGCTGATGTATTTTTTGTTAGACAATGTTTCACTCTATAATTCAGGCTGACCTCAAATTCAGTGATTTTCCTGCCTCAGCCTCCTGAGTGCTAGAATTGCTGATGTATTCTTAATAAGATGAAGGATAATTTTTTATATTTAATTTAATTCATTTAAGAATGACTTGTCAAATTATGTATAATTCTTTACTATATAAATGAAGTTTAACTTATCTCTATTTTTCTTAAAGATGAAGGGAGGGGGGATTGAGGGGGCAGGGAAAAAGGACAAAAATAATTTAATGTGTTACATGTATGTACCAACTCCCCACAGTGAATGTAATCATCATATACTGCAAACCTACTAATAAAAAGTAAACAAAATTATAAATGACTGACTTATTTTACCAGATGCTTCAATTATAAGGTTTTAATGATAAGTTTACTATTATAATAAATGATGTACATAGAACAGTTGTCCTGTCACTCTCGTCTCTCTATAGCTTATTCTAAACACATATAAACATATTTTTCCTTGTGCAAACATTCTACTCCCTTCCTTTATCATTTAGAGCAAATGCAAATGTTCTTATTATAACTGGCAAGCCCCTACCCCATTCAACCTTATTATATTTATGCCTCTTCTATTGCTATCTTTCTAGTTGCCTTGGTTTCCTTAATGTTTTTGGAACATAATGGGGACTTTTCCCTCACAAAGCCTTTGCATTTGTTTGTCCTCTTGCCTGAGATGTTCTTTCTCCAGATACCATCAAATATCTCTCATCAATTTTAGGTCTTCATCAAGGTTGATATTTGTTGTGAGTCCTTCCCTGATCACTGATTCTAAAAGTTTAACCTATCTTGACTTGATATTTTCTTTTCTTGTTGTGATTTTTAATACTGATTTGTCAACTTCCTTGAATTAAAAAATGTGCTGTGGATTAGTAATGAACATTCCTTGTTGTCTGGATGGGTCCAAGAAGCATAACCTTGGTTATTATGTATGTTCCCTAGTTTATTCTTCTTTGGCATTGTTCCCCTGCTCTGTTTACAGCTATGAGGAACTGTGATAAACAGCTTTTGCATGTCTTTCCACCATAAGATTTCTGTTTTGGAGACTAATTACCGTGTACCAAATTTCCCGAGACCATGCGCTAAATTATATCTTTCCTTCTTATAATTGAGGGTGTTGAGTATTACGTCTTACTAACAATAAAGTGGACTAACACATGTGCCTTGTTTTAATCATTCTCTCTTTTTGAAAAACTTATCACAAACACTGTACCATCTATTCTG